TGTATTCTTTATAAGTGCATGCACATTCTAAATTTATACTCAAATTCGAGCCTATATATATATAATCTTCAGAAATAATTTTTTTTATAGCTCTCTAAATGCTACTGTTAAAGTTTTGACTTAAAGAATATAACTTATTTACTGTATTTCAAATATTCTTTAATATTAATTAAGATATAACTTAATTAAGGTTCCTCAAATGAGAGCATATCTTGAAAACAATAGTGTTTTGATATTAGATAATGCTCAGATACACCATAGTGAGTTATTAATTAATATAATTGAAGCTATTGGTGCATGAGTTCTTTTTCTTCCTCCATATTTACCAGATTTCAATCCAGCTAAATTTGCTTTTTTATTTATTAAAAGTTATCTTAAAAGAAATCGTGACTTTGTAATAAAAGTGCTGATCCAGTATATCCAATTTTGGCAGCTTGTGCAGAAATAACAGCCAATATAGCAGAAGAATTTTTTCGTAATTCAAAAATTTATTTATAATAGAATTTTTACAAGACTTGTATGTTATTAGTATATATGTGATTAATATGTAAAAAAATAAAACTTACAATAAAATTATAATTAATCTATTCTACTATTGCAGTTTTATATTACCTCTTATATAAATTTTTTTACTTAATGTTCTCTTTTAGAAAAATTAGTATATGATCATGTGGTGGCTTTGCTGCTAACTAATAATTAGATATACCATTATATGGCATTAACAGGTATTGACAATTTGATAATACATGATTAATTGAAATCACAAAATATATATTAAGGTGTTATTCTATTTGTTTTTTTCATAGTACTTGGCTTCGCTTGAATTTTATATTTTTTATATTTTGGCCTCATTTTGCTTGGCTAGATTTTAAACTATATTTAGCAAAATCTTTATGCAAATACAGTTGACTTTCATTAATATCAATCTATATGGATTACCCTTATATTCATATTGATAGTGATATTATGAAGGTTTATATTAAAGTTGATATATATGAGGAAGTTTTGATATATAAAAATTTATAAAAAATTTGGTTTGACTTAAATTGATATTAATGCAAGTTGATATTAATGATTATTATTTGCTGGATCAGAGACTTTATTACTACTAAACATTGAATAAATATATATGAATAGGTCTGTTATCACCAAACTGGCTCTAGCTTATATACTAACAAAAAATGGAGAGGAACTTCTAAACTATCAGTTACATATGTATAATATAAATAGCAATCCAACTATTCTTCTAAATAACATAAACTTCAAAGAGGAAAAGACTAATTTACTACAATTGCAACTCAATCTTTGCATCTAAAGACAGTCCATTATTTACATAGCTGTAACGAAAATCAGAATACTGCTGCTGAAGTACTTGTAGTATGAAGGCACTGAAAGTTTAAAGGTCTTTGTACAGCCGCTATAGCCATAGAGCCTAATATGAAAACACATAGCTTGCACAGCTTGCAGCTGCAGAGCCTAAACATCAAAATATATTGTCCTTGCACTGCTTGCAGTTGCCAAACCTAGAAGAAGATACCTAGTCCTAGTACTGCTACAGTGGAGCCTACATATAAAGAAACAAGGTCTTTGCACTACTTCTGCAGCCACGGAGTCTAACATCTGCTACCTCAGGTCCTTGTACTGCAACTGCAACCACGGAGCCTGACTTACCTAAAAAATAGAAAGCCTTGGGGGTGACCCACCTAGTATTGCCACCAAAATCATGTACATACATAATACGGAATTTAAATTTATTTACCGATATTTTAATATATAATATGATGTTAATATTTGATTAGTAATGCGTACAATAATAAAAATAATATCTAAATTTTTTTTCTTTGATTTTATTATAATTTGCTAAAATGAAAAATAAGCATATTACGCTTTGTTATTTATTCTGTCTAATTATGAAACCCATTTTGCAGTTCAAAATAATTAAAAAATATGCATTGAGTGTTTACTCTCATAAATGAAAGCAAAAAAAGAAAGCGTGAAGACCAAACTTTAAATAACATTTGCAAGAAAAAAGGAAACGTTATAGAATCTGAAGAGCTTGAACATATGGTGTATGAAAAACTTACAGATATTGATGGAGAACGCTTTGCGCATATAGATTTTAAGATAGATGTGATGCTTCTCAGATGAGAAAAAATGTTATCAAGGAATTTTTTGGCAAGTACAATAATACTTAAGATCATAAAGTTCTTGAAAAAGGGCAGTTATTTATATGTTAACCATAAAAAGTATCATAATAAACAAGTTAAATCTATTTTATTTATCTATTGGTGCAACTGTTACTTTGAGCTTGAGAAGAGAATTAAAAAAATGATGAAAGTTAACAGCGATAGAGAGCTATGGATTGAACATTATAAGAATCTTTGGGTGTTATTTATATCTCTGGCAATTTCTGTAATCCTCACTGGCATATATCTAATATTATATTTTAGACACTCAATTGTTCTTGAAAATTCTAATCATCTTCCAAAACAAAATAAATGGCTTCAAAGTATTGAGTTAAGCGAGCAAAAAAGCTTTCGAAAGCTTGAAATAGACGTAATAAGAACACCTTTTACTGGTAGTATTAATTTAGGCTTAAAGCTTTATATGTGTTTTAAAAAATTTTGAATTTAGATACAATACATTTTAAATCTTCAAATTTAAATAACAGTTTTGAATTTATAGCCATAAATTAACTAAATTCTTGAATGAACAATTTGAATAATGGTTTTGAATTTATAGCCATAAATTAAATAAATTTTTGAATGGACAATTTGAATAAACTATTTGAATAAATTGTTTAAATAAATAATTTGAATAAATAAATTTTGAAAATCTTGTTATGAAACCTCGTAATTTTGCTATTCTTATGTTAAACTCAGATTGAATTTTAAGAAGTGATTACGTATGTGATTTTGGTGGTGATACTAGGTGGGTTCCTTGAGAGTGGATTAGGGATGACAGAGCCAACTTCTATACTAAGGTGAGGATAGTAAATCCTTTAACATATATACAATACAGCTTAAATACTCTTAATTATCAAAACAACTGATTTATCACATCTAGCCTATTGCTTTTTATCTAAGCTATTGCTATCTAGCAATTGCTGACAAACCTGTATTTAATATAATATATGTGACAAATAATAAAATGCTATAAAGGATAACCAAATTTAAACATGTGACCAAATAAATCATCTAATCTCGCAATAATGTACGCCTTGTCACTTCATTAACAGACTTCCAGAGTTAACTGTATATCTATATTTATTATAAATTGTTAATACAAACTTAAGAATATAATATTAAAATAATAATTCTAATAAAATTTTAACTTTGAATATCTAAACTAATATGATAAAAATAATAATTCTAATAAAATTTTAACTTTGAATATCTAAACTATTATGCCAAAAATAATTATTATTTGTTATATTTTTCTGAAGCTTCACGCAATGCTATTTGCTATCCTATTTTAGTAATACCCATTTGATTAAATTGCTCTTTGGTAAGTTTACATATTTGTTTAAACCGAATAGCCTCATTTTGAAATTTAGCAAACAGGCTAAAATTTCGCCACTTGCATTTTCATTTTTATCTACAGTTTTTAAGAAGTTTTTAAGAGAAGGAGCAGATTTTGAAATAGCAGAATATGAATTTGGTATTATATTATTTGTAATAAATAGATATAAAGAGGATTGTGAATTTGGATAAATAGGAAATAGCATAATTAATAGTTGGGATAATACATTTGGTGTTAGTTGAGAAAGAAAGTTAGGTATTGGTTGAGATAAATTAGTTATTTGTTGAGATAATTTAGAAGTAGCTATTCCTCGTGGCTTGGATAGAACTGTAAATACTGCATGATTTGGTGATGTATTAATATCAGCCATTCCATTAATTTATTATATAAATAAAATTTAAAGTTAAAATATAAAATATATATTTATGTAATAAAAATTTACAATTATTTACAGATCATTATTTATATAATAATTATTGTCACAGTTGAAGCTTGAAACAGCTAAAGCGTGAAACAGCTGAAGCTTGAAATTAGAGACCTCGATTTAAAAATATAAACCTTACCAAAATTCACTTAAATATTTTAATTATCAAAACAAACTCTAAATCTTAAGCTAACTATAAAAAAAATGCTAAAAAAATGGATCCCAAAATTTTTTGAAAATTTCATATTAAAGTATTTAAAATTTCAAGCTTTAGCTATTTCAAGCTTCAGCCACGACAATTATTTATTTCTTACAATAGCTCATGCCCAAGTTGTATAATGAATTTCTGTTAGTTTAATATGTTCAGTATCTGTAGGTCAACAAGTGCATTCACATCTTGAACAATAACGCTCTTCACGAATTAAAGTAATGATAGTTGCTATATCTCATATTTCTTGATCAAGATCAGATTTCTTAGGTTTTTTTTAGTAAATAATTTTGTATGTTTTTTGCTTAAAAAAGATTTATTATCACTACTACTACTATTTTCTTCATGTATCTAAAATAATTTAATTAAATTTTATATTAACAAATATTCAAAATAATTCATATTATTATTAAACATTTATTATACCATTCTATTAGATCGTTTTTTTGTTGAGGCTAAACCAGAAATTTGATGCATTGTAATATTTACAGATATATATATTTTTTAATAGTAGTATGATTATATTCTTAAACAAAAATATTAAAATCAGAGTTATTAATGATTAGAGTTCCAGCTCCAGTTTTTTTTGCTAGTTTGTAAGCCAATATATAATCATCTTGAGTAATTGAAGAATCTTCTAACTGAAACTGAATTTCTGATTAGATGTGATTCTGAAATTCTGTACAAGATTGTGCATGAATTATTATTCATCTTGCTGGTAATAAAATACCATTTTGATCTTTAATACTTAGTTTGAGCAAAAATTTAATGATTTTTTTTTTATTGCTTTTTTCAAATTAATTGTTTTTTTCCAATTGATTACTTTTTTCAAATTGATTGCTTTTTTCAAATTGATTGTTTTTTTTCAAATTGATTGATTTCTTCAAATTGATTGATTTCTTCAAATTCAAATTGATTGCTTTCTTCAAACTGATTGCTTTCTTCAAAAGAATTGCTTTCTTCAAATTGATTACTTTCTTCAAACTGATTAAGAGATTCAATATCACTATATAAATCTTCAATTGTTTCTGAATTACTTTCTATAGACTTTTCAATTTCACTATTGAT